GCTGATTCCTAGGCAAAATACCCAAAAAAACACCAGGACACAAAGAAGCACTGAATAATGATGAATAATGAAATCAAATTCAAAATGTTGGCTGCTACATCCAGAAAAGAAAATGTCACGACTTAAACTACAGCTCCATTTGTACATCAGCAGCAACACAAACGACTGTCAGTGAGTTCAGAGGTCAAAGCAGCCAGAAAAATGAAGGAAGACGAAACTGCAGCAGACAAACACTCCAATTTTTCTGATTCTGTTTCTTCATCCGTTTGTTTCCCACCAGAGATTCATCGTCTACGTCAACAAAGGCGATCACGGCTACCATAGCGGAGAGATGGACATGAAGGCCATCTTCAGGGCCTTCGGACCAGACTTTAAGCAGAACTTCGTGTCCGAGCCGTTCGACAGCATCCACGTCTACCCTCTGATGTGTAAACTGCTGCAGATCGAACCGGCGCCGCACAACGGATCACTGGCTGTGACGGAGAACCTGCTGCTGCACAGCAGTGAGTCCGACAAAAGAAAATATTACTACTGTTTTGATGCTACTTGAGTATTTTAACTTTATACTTCTACTCCATAATATTTATCGAAGAGCTGCAGTTATTGGTTACTTTTCAGATTAAAATATCAAATTAAAAACATGGTAAGATTACAAAATAAATGGGAAGGTTCCCAACTATTAAGTCTTGTGAATGCTAATATAAAATGAGTATGTACATTTGTCTCCTCGTCGTGATCCAGATGTCTTGAGTTTTTGTCAGTTCCAAAGAGACATTTACTCTCTAAACTTTAGATAGCTTCATTTTAATAACTGTTCAAACGATCCAATATTTCACGCAAAAAAAAATAATCTAATATTAGAAAAAAGTAAAAAAAAAAAAAAAAGAAACAGAACTTTTCTTCTTTCATCGCCCATTGATCATCACACAATCCCCTAGTTTTAACTGGTGACCCTTTGGAGGGACCTGACCCCAAGATTAGGAACCCCTGGACTATACTGTTTATAAAGTAGTTTAAAACTAGCCAACGTTAACCGTTTATATAGTAGTTTAAAACGAGCCAACGTTAACCGTTTATAAAGTAGTTTAAAACTAGCCAACGTTAACCGTTTATAAAGTAGTTTTAAGGTTGGCTCGTTTTAAGGTTGGCTAGTTTTACTGTTTATAAAGTAGTTTAAAACTAGCCAACGTTAACTGTTTATAAAGTAGTTTAAAACTAGCTAATGTTAACTGTTTATAAAGTAGTTTAAAACTAGCCAACGTTAACCATTTATAAAGTAGTTTTAAGGTTGGCTAGTTTTACTGTTTATAAAGTAGTTTAAAACTAGCTAATGTTAACTGTTTATAAAGTAGTTTAAAACTAGCCAACGTTAACCATTTATAAAGTAGTTTTAAGGTTGGCTCGTTTTAAGGTTGGCTAGTTTTACTGTTTATAAAGTAGTTTAAAACTAGCTAATGTTAACTGTTTATAAAGTAGTTTAAAACTAGCCAACGTTAACCATTTATAAAGTAGTTTTAAGATTGGCTCGTTTTAAGGTTGGCTAGTTTTACTGTTTATAAAGTAGTTTAAAACTAGCTAATGTTAACTGTTTATAAAGTAGTTTAAAACTAGCCAACGTTAACCATTTATAAAGTAGTTTTAAGGTTGGCTCGTTTTAAGGTTGGCTAGTTTTACTGTTTATAAAGTAGTTTAAAACTAGCCAACGTTAACTGTTTATAAAGTAGTTTAAAACTAGCTAATGTTAACTGTTTATAAAGTAGTTTAAAACTAGCTAATGTTAACTGTTTATAAAGTAGTTTAAAACTAGCTAACGTTAACCGTTTATAAAGTAGTTTTAAGGTTGGCTAGTTTTACTGTTTATAAAGTAGTTTAAAACTAGCCAACGTTAACTGTTTATAAAGTAGTTTAAAACTAGCTAACGTTAACCGTTTATAAAGTAGTTTTAAGGTTGGCTAGTTTTACTGTTTATAAAGTAGTTTAAAACTAGCCAACATTAACTGTTTATAAAGTAGTTTAAAACTAGCCAACGTTAACTGTTTATAAGTAGTTTAAAACTAGCTAACGTTAACTGTTTATAAAGTAGTTTAAAACTAGCCAACGTTAACCGTTTATAAAGTAGTTTAAAACTAGCCAACGTTAACCATTTATAAAGTAGTTTTAAGGTTGGCTCGTTTTAAGGTTGGCTAGTTTTACTGTTTATAAAGTAGTTTAAAACTAGCCAACGTTAACTGTTTATAAAGTAGTTTAAAACTAGCTAATGTTAACTGTTTATAAAGTAGTTTAAAACTAGCTAATGTTAACTGTTTATAAAGTAGTTTAAAACTAGCTAACGTTAACCGTTTATAAAGTAGTTTTAAGGTTGGCTAGTTTTACTGTTTATAAAGTGGTTTAAAACTAGCCAACGTTAACTGTTATAAAGTAGTTTAAAACTAGCTAACGTTAACCGTTTATAAGTAGTTTTAAGGTTGGCTAGTTTTACTGTTTATAAAGTAGTTTAAAACTAGCCAACATTAACTGTTTATAAAGTAGTTTAAAACTAGCCAACATTAACTGTTTATAAAGTAGTTTAAAACTAGCCAACGTTAACTGTTTATAAAGTAGTTTAAAACTAGCCAACGTTAACCGTTTTAAAGTAGTTTAAAACTAGCCAACGTTAACCATTTATAAAGTAGTTTTAAGGTTGGCTCGTTTTAAGGTTGGCTAGTTTTACTGTTTATAAAGTAGTTTAAAACTAGCCAACATTAACTGTTTATAAAGTAGTTTAAAACTAGCCAACATTAACTGTTTATAAAGTAGTTTAAAACTAGCCAACGTTAACTGTTTATAAAGTAGTTTAAAACTAGCCAACGTTAACGTTTATAAAGTAGTTTAAAACTAGCCAACGTTAACCATTTATAAAGTAGTTTTAAGGTTGGCTCGTTTTAAGGTTGGCTAGTTTTACTGTTTATAAAGTAGTTTAAAACTAGCCAACGTTAACTGTTTATAAAGTAGTTTAAAACTAGCTAATGTTAACTGTTTATAAAGTAGTTTAAAACTAGCTAACGTTAACCGTTTATAAAGTAGTTTTAAGGTTGGCTAGTTTTACTGTTTATAAAGTAGTTTAAAACTAGCCAACGTTAACTGTTTATAAAGTAGTTTAAAACTAGCTAACGTTAACCGTTTATAAAGTAGTTTAAGGTTGGCTAGTTTTACTGTTTATAAAGTAGTTTAAAACTAGCCAACATTAACTGTTTAAAGTAGTTTAAAACTAGCCAACGTTAACTGTTTATAAAGTAGTTTAAAACTAGCTAATGTTAACTGTTTATAAAGTAGTTTAAAACTAGCTAATGTTAACTGTTTATAAAGTAGTTTTAAGGTTGGCTAGTTTACTGTTTATATAGTAGTTTAAAACTAGCTAACTACTCGAGCACAAAAGTACAATGTTTACACAATTTTTTTGGAGGCTTAATAAATTGTTGTTTGATAAAACTCTAGTGGGTTAAATGATGATAAAGTCTGTTTAGGATATTTATTGAAGTAGTAAAATGCAGGACACATCTCGCTTAGTAGTACCAGTAGTAATCATAGTACTATGATTTCACCAGATTACTTCATTGATAGATGGACAGTGGTGTAGTGCAGCAACATAAACCGTAAATGTGGTTTGTTTTCAGGTGGATCCCAGAGAACTCAACTGTCCGTCGCTCTGCTGCTGTCCATGCTGATCTTCATGTTCACTGTGCTGCTGTAACAGATCCAGGATCAGCTTCCACCTCCTCATCTGAAACATTATGGATTGTAATAATTTCTTAATGTTTACCATGTTGATGTCGAAGACTTTCACAGCTTCCGTCAGTGTTGCTCAGGAAGCTTTTTCTTGGATTTATGTCATTATATTATATTATTATTGAGTATTTTATGTTTAGTTTTTTCCCCCTATATATTACAGCTGCACAGCGAATACTTCAGTAAAAATGTTTCACCTCTAAAACATGTTTTTTTATGATGTCCGTGGAGATGAGTGTCAGTTAGGGAAAGGATCAAGGCCACATATGAAAAATTATAGATTTTAATGTCAGAATTCTGACATTTGAGTTTTTCCTCAGTGTTGACTTTAAATTCAGAACTCAAATACATTTTTTTCTTCCACATGTTCCACACATAATTCTTCTGTAGTCACTAGGTCTGCTAAGTTAAATGCAAATACATTCAAATTTGATGTTAAATATTATATTTCCCAGTATATTATTTACTGCAGTGCTCAAGGTCCTTTTATTAACTAGGTTGTGCAGTATAAGTGACTTGGTCCTCAGTTTTCACCGTTTCAACAACCACAAATCAGATTATTATTGTTTAATAATGTGTCACATCTCAAAGACTCGTTATCGTCGTCACCAAACTGATTTTATTGAAACTTTAAGTAGAAACTATGAAGACAGCGGCTGTGACGTCATTCAATCGGCCACTGCAGGCAACAGGGTGAGGCACAACAGTGATCTCTCTCACACACAAACACACACACTGAAACACTCACAGACACATTCACAACTTAATCAGCATAACGGATTAAATAAAAACTCCTTCCTGCGTTGGACCTGTCGGAGGTGAAGAGCCTCGTCTGCTTCGTTAAAGCAGAAACGGAACATTTAAAACGATGAAATTAAGTTTCAGATCATCAGTCTGGAGAATCAGTCGTCCACCGAGTCTGTGTTTCGGTTCGACGCTTCAGCAGCCAATCAGAGTGCAGCGGAGGAGAACCGCCTGAGTAAAAAAAAAATAAAAATACCAACCAAAGAAACCTGAGGAAGCTGTTTCCAAAAAGTGGCGGCCATATTTGCTCCCAGTGGTGGAGTCTCCGTGTTTCACCATAAAACGATGAGAAAATAAAAACGTTCACCTTCGTCCGAGAAAACTGAGGATGAGAAGTATGACACGGGCGAGGCGAAGCCTGATTGGTCCTCCTGTGACCTTTGACCTCAGTTCAGAGAAGATGGAGGCTGCAGTAACCCCTCAGAACTGCAGCCACGTCCTCAAACAGCGCTGCCCGATGGTGGTGAGCGCGGGGGATCATAGCAGCGTGTCCTCGTTCACGACTCTGCGACCGTCCTCGGTCTCCACGTTTATCCGGACGCTCTGCAGCTTCTCCTGGCTGGAAGACACAACGGCAACAACGGGATGAGAAATCTTTGTTTTATTTATCAGTCTTACTGAATTACTTTATTATTGGGTATTAAAGGTCCAGTCTTTAATATTTCTGAGGATAAAAGCGTCACCTAAATGAGTAAATGTAAATGTCCACAACTGTTTTTTCTGTAGTGTAAAATGAACAGTTATGTTTTTATTAATCTCTGGAATCTCTGGGAACCTCACGATTCGATTCTGATTCAGCTGCGATGCGATTATAAAACAGTCCAAGTTGGGAGGGGCCACTCGAACCCCCCCAATATTGAAAGTATTAGTTTGGCCCAGACTAACAGACACACAAACAGCGTCCTGCAGCGGCTGACCGGTCGGCCTGCGCGGTCGCGGATCATTATAAAAGATTAGAAACTGAAAAATGTCAGTATTTAGGGACATTAAACCGGTTTAATGTAAGAAAAGCCACATGAGACTGCAGGCTAATTGGTTGGCCCTTCTCTTGCTTCTCCACAATCTAACGTTAGCTAGTTTAGAAAATAATAAATTATTGCTTCAGCACCCTAAAAATGGTCTAAAATCGCCCCTGCTGCTGATGGAGAAAGTCAGCAGAGCAGGAACATACAGGGAGAGAGACAGGAAGAGGCGGGGCCAGCAGGTGTGTTTGCAGCAGAGGTTTAGGCCGGAGGGGAAAGAGAGCAGATTCAATGAGGCTACTGAGTAAACACTGAAATGAAGGTAGAATTAAATGTTTAAATAAGAAATAACCTACGCTACCAGAACAGAAATACATAAATAAATGTCTCCGTACAAACTTTTATTGTCTAATCTCACTCCTTCCTGCGACCATCTGTTCACACTGTCCAACCAGGAAACGTGACTCAGCGCACGCACACACACACGTTGGTTTGTTTCCCGAGTCATTATTGCTTTGTAGTTCAGAGTGAGCGGACCAATCACAAAGAGCCTCAGCAGATGTCGTCGCCGGTGGGTTTACCTGTTGCAGCGTTTCAGAGCTCTGCTGCTGTCGGGGTTCATGGACTTCCAAATGCCGCTTTTGGCCATTTCATCCGAGATGTTCACCTCTGATGGGTCCATGCTGCACGACACAACACACGTTACTTTCTGCTGCAGGATCCGTTACAGGCTCTACACCGTCCTGATTCACTCACCGTTTCAGGGTTTTGATCGGGAAGTTCATTCCTCCATCGTACGGTGATCGTCCTCCGCCTCCTCCAGCATCCGCAGAGCGTTCTAGAAAGATAAGGAACAAAGACAATGTGTCAGAGAGAAGCAGGGTCACGTTGTTTTAGAGTTTCAGTTCCGAGACTCACCTCCTTCTCCTCTTCTTCTGTCATCTTCCTTCTTCTTCTTGCTCTCTGGTATCAGGTCGTCCAGGTAGCTCAGCTCTCTCTTGGTGAAGCAGAAATCCAGAAGCTTACGGATGAACACCAGAGCCAGAACCTGCAGGGACCGTGAGAAGAGATGTTGGGCTACTTTCTGCTTTCACAGTAGTGGAAAGAAAACGTCCAAAATACATTTAGTAGTTTATTTTACTGTTTACTGTTGTCTCTGTGCGTCGGTAGATTTCTCACTGCATGTCCTCCAACAGTCTGTCGGATCCAAATATGGTCATTTCCTTTCTACCAGCAACCAATTGTGAGAACTACTAAGGCGGATTTAGACTAAGCATCAAATCTAATTGGCTCTTGTCGATTTCAGACCATGTGATTGGTTTCAACGTGGCGTTATTTTGACGCTTTGTTATGTTGTTGAGGATCTGATTCGATATTGGCTCTGTAAACATTGACTTTCAATGAAAAATGTATGGATTTTTATGGAATACTTTATCTTTAAAAGTCATTTTTCCAGCAGCTCTTACAGACACCAAACTCTCCAGATTTATTCCTGACTGTCTTCTGAAGGTTTTTACAGAGGGGTTTGTTCATTTTTCATTTTAACAACATTTATTCTCCAAAACAGGTCGAAAATTTATCTGTATGCCCGTTGACAGTATTTTCTGATTCATGAAATAATAAAGAGAGATATTTTAAATCCCCTCTGTAAAAACTTTGATTCTAATGTGTCGACACAATAAAACCATAATTTTGAATCTTCGGATGTCAGTTCTTGAAATAGATGCAAATTAGCGCATATTTCATTAGATTCTGCCTCATTTGCATATAACATGATATTTCAGAAAACCTGTAATACAAAAAAATTATTCTCTTAAAGTGAGTAATCAATGAAGTTTCATGGTGATCTCTGCTACACTTTTTACCCTGTTCGCCTGCACAGTCTCGCCTTAAGCATTAATAAAATAAACATCTCGTCGTCTCCGTCTGTCTCACCATCATGGGGAAGACAACAGCGGCGGCCGAGGCCTTGATGGTCCAGAGGACGATGAGGCAGGACAGCTGCACCACGGTGAAGATGTGGACCTTCCACAGAGGGACGTAGCGCAGGTAGATCAGGTCCGGCTGGTGTTTGGACGGCATGCCGAACAGTTTGATGCGGTCGAACAGCTGCAGGACGGACAGACGGACATCAGAGACACTGACAGACTGCTGATGGTCTAGCAGGACGGACGGACACTGTGACAGACCTGAATGCCTTTGAGCGAGGACACTCCCATGTAGAGGAAGACGCCGTACAGGACGGGCATCGGGATGAACTGAAGGACAAAATGAAACTTAAAGTTAGATGGAAACCTCTACAGAGAACTGATGAAGCAGCTGCATAATGCAGATAACGCCGGCTGCACACTAGATGATAACTGGGCCACTTTGGGGCCAGTCGCCCTCCTGACAGTCGCGGTGGCGTTCCCAAGCCAAACTGTTGCAGCTTGCCCAAAATGAAAACAAAAAGTTACACGAGCAGTGTGCAGCTGGGATTATTCCTCTGACTATAATCGTACCAATAAAATCTGTAACCGTTGCGTCCCTATTCATCAGACCAACATGATGGTGTTCACCTTGAGGGCGGAGGTCATGAAGACGGAGCAGCCCATCAGGACGAAGATCATGAAGCCCGTGACTCTCTGCTCTCTGATGCCCAGGAACTTTGGCTGCTCGCCCGGCGCCGCGCACTCCGACTCCAGTTTCAGACTGTTGACGTGGGAGATGGAGAGCACGGTCGCCGCCACGAACCACGGCAGGCCCATGATGGAGCACACACCCAGCATCACCGCCACCACCAGCAGGTCCAGGTGGTAGCCACAGCCTTTCTGCAACCAAAACACACACACGAGGGAGAGTTTATCGTCCAGCTGCTCCGTCAGAGACAAACCGGTCTGTGTTCTCCTACACTCCGCGGTCCTCACCTTCAGTTTGTTCTCCTTCCTGTTGACGATGACGGCGGAGATTTGCTGGTCCATGAAGATGAGGATGGTGCACAGCAGAGCCGGGACGGCGGCGACCAGCAGCGTCCACCAGGGGTTCGGTCCCAGCGGTGAGATCAGCCACCCTCGAGTGCTCGACGTGGGCTGAACAGACAAACAGCAGTGTTAGAACGTTTTACCAACGCTCTTCTTCTTGTCATCTTGTAGGTGGTGGGCGTGTCCACTGGGGTTGGGCAGAAGTGATAGTGGGGTATTTGTTTGCCTCACCAGTTCACCTGTGTTTTTTGGGCTTTGACAGAGAGGGGCGGTGAGCCTGGGAGCCAACACTTTCTGTTGACCGCACTCACGCAGGAATTTTATGACTTGGTAACTGTACCAGTTGTAGAGTTGAACAGCCAGGCTTTATCACCCAGAATAAGGTTTATTGCAGAGTAAAGTAAGTGCATAATTAGTGCATAATAAGAATTATATAAAATAAAAGCAATAGAAAGCAAGTATGTAACCACAAATATAATAAAGTAACAACATGTTATTTTTAAGTTTCACAAGTCAAGGACTTTCAGGAGCCAGATGTCTCTTCACTTGATTTAATTACTCAAATGTGCTGACAGATAACAGCAGTACGAACATTTAAACTATCACAGCTGTGTTTTCCTCTGCTATTGTTGCTGCAGAGGTCTGTGACAGCGGGACCAGAGGGCTCTGTGAGCGGACGGCTAGCCGGCCTCGCTAGCTCCTCCCGCCAGTTGGCGCGAGCTTCCCCCGCCGCCACTCCGTAAATGGCGGAGTTGAGAAGCACATTTTGATCCACAATCACTTTTCGTAAAACGGTCAATATTTGAC